TGCTTTTTACGTGAATTCGATTTACGAGTTTTCATTTTAACGCCAGGAATGATGAATGAATGGCATCCAATTTGTGAAAGAATGTTCGCTTTCATCACGATTTTGTGCGCGCTGTATTTACATACATACATACACCGGCGTAAAAGCAACGGGATTTTTAATTCGGTCTCTCTCTCTCTCTCTCTCGAATTTTCCATTAAAACTTTAACAATCACGTGCATCGATAAAAATCGACTCGTTAAAAAATTAACAACGATCGATTGTTCGATTAACGATAGAAGCTTAAGAGAATAAAAAAAAGAGGAGAAACAAAAGAAACTTCATACACGGTAACAAAAGATAAAAATGTTGCGGCATGCTTTGAATTTTTCATGCCCAATACGTTGTACCATTATTTTGTTTTCACCTCACAGTTGCTCGTTATTTATCGCTCTTAATAATTAAATTGAAACCTCTAGCGTTGACGCAAACGGTACTGTTCATTTCTACTGTGTGTGTGTGTAAATAATTGTTCACCAAACCACGTACATTTCATTGATTGAAACAAATCGGGTAGTCTGCAAATCGACAACGTGATTTTGTGATATGAAAAGCGTTCGTAAAAAAAAAACATGACGAAACAGAGGCAGCGCGAAGAGAATTCCAAATATCGGATAAAATATGTTCGCCAGTTATACCACAGTGAAAACAGTCGATTTTCCATTGCAATGTAGCAAGAATCGCAACAAGTTTGTTAATCCTCTTTTGTTCGAACAACTAAATGTTGGAAAAACTTTACCTGACCAAAATTCTGACGCTTTCTGATTGGCTCCAGAGGGGTGTTCCAGTGGGACGTTTTTCTTTCGAAGGGTAGCTGCGCAAGGAGCACCACCTCCTGGCTTACCCCAGGGCGAATAACTCTCCACGATTTTCTGAAGCTGTAAAGAAAAAGAAAGAGAAACGTGATATATAAACCTAATTTTGCGGTTAACTTAAAATACTACACTCTTTAGAAAATAAACTATAACTGTAACGATGTCTTGTTTCTTTAAAAACAAACCCTAAAAAAACGAGTAACTGTATCTCACTTATGGTGATTAAATATTTACACTTCGATGACCCAAAACTATAAACGTATACCAGCATGCTTTGACTAAAATAAAATGGCAAATAATATTGCAATGTCACGATTTCTTCCGTCTGGCCTCGCGCGGATTTATTCTACTTTACTCTACTTTCAACGCGTCTCTATTGCTGTCCAACGACATTTTGAAAAAATAGCTAAAGATTCGAACAAGATTTTAAACTTTCACGTTTACTGGCTACCACTCGAGATCAATATTCTGCAAGCAGAAACTTTGTTAAGCAACAACTTCCCACGAAACGCGTTTTCAACTTTCTGCTAACAACGCGATAAAGGAAAAATAGAATCTCCGATGAATTTTTATGGAAATAACGTTGGAATAATTCGCCAAACTATTTTATTAGCTTGCTAACGAGGAGTTTTCATAAATGTATTCATGAAACGAGTACTGCCCCCTTTTTAAAAAGCTTCCTTCTATAATATCCTGGATCCTAGAAAATTATACATACGTACATGTATGTATACATATCATAGGAGAAAAAAAAACTACGATTTTTTTCAGTCTTTCAATTCAAACGAAAGGTTTTCATTAAAGCACAAGGATAATCCATTTCCTGAGAACAGTAATGAAACGAGTTCTTTTCGTTCTTTTCTTTCTTTTTTTTTCCACGTAAAAATTGCGCTGTTTAAGTCACAGTTTTAATAATTCACGTCGATTTATCATCGTAATCTGCTGGTAAATGCTTATTATTACACGCAACCGTGTTTCTTAGCGCAACATTCCTTTGTGGCAATGCTAATGTTCAACCGTTCTTAATCCGACCCTGCAATATGTAATTCGGATGCACTTTACGGCTCTGAATATTTTAATCTTTTATTATGCTGGCCACCGGTACACGTATGAATCTTTTACCAGAAATTCTTCTCTCCCTACCCTGATGGTACAAAAAGAGAAACTCGACTTTGCGCTGATAATACCTGTTCCTGACGCTTCTGTATAAAATGGATATTTACAACGTTTTCGTCTGAAAAATGTACGATTTTATAAAATATACTCTGGTCCGTGAACTAAAATTAAAAAGCATAATGTTTTTATCAAAACATTTTCATTGTATATCAACAATTTGATGGGAGGAAGAAAATAGAAAATACTTATATTACCAGTTACATATGCGAGTTGGAATAATAAGGAACATGATTCGACAAATGAGAAACAATGAGAAACGTTTACGCTCGTCGTTAGCGAAATATTTCTTACGCCTAGAGGGGTAAACACATTAATGATCGACGAATCACTTTAGCATTCGCGCGGGCCCGTAAATTCCGATGAAGAAAATGAAATGCCGTGTCGGAAATACGACCAGACGTGCACACACGTTACTTTGTTGAAAATTTTCGGGCCTTTCAATATACATATGTACCTTCCGTTATAAATCATTTCCGTAACAGCGTACAGTGCACACTGTACCTACGTTTGCAATGTTTATCTAGGCTCAATCAAACCAACCATACCTCTTACGTTAGTCGGATAAATGTAAGATTGAAAGCACGAGAACGAAACAACGATATCGTAGGTTGTAGGAAATAAAAACCAAAGAGGGGCGCGGTCAACGAAGGACAGTGACGCAAATGGTGTACTCGTACAAGCTTCGAACCATTTACGACGCATACTTGACGCTGTTCTTGCTGCTTTTGACGTTGCAACTACTCCTTTTGTCGTCTCCGCAAGTCGGTTCCCTCTTGAACGGTTCCCTTTCTTCTCTCCTCCTCTTCTTCTTCTTCCGGTACGTACTTACTTGTCTCAGGAATTTCCTGCGCCATCCTGGTCCGAATAGACTTCCTCTTAATAAAAGGACGAACAACAAATCAAGAGCATCGCGTTACAAGAGAATGCGTGAATTCGCTGTATCTGCATCGTTATAATCACATGCAAGAATATAACAATATAATGATAAGATTTGGTGCTGAAAGCTACCTATAACGTTGCGAATCTAAAGAAATTACAGCAATAAGCTTTTTCTTTTTCGTTCGAATAACGAGTCCTCTTTTTGTGGCATTTAGTATCGTTAGTATCCTATTGTATGTATAGTTATCGATTTAACAAGATATTATTCTGCTTCGAGAAAACTCGTTTCTGTTTCAACGAAAATTTTTCACATTATGTATCTTCTACGCGTTAGGTACATAATATAATTATTATTTTAAACAAATCTCTGTACGGAAGCAGCTTGTATTCATTTCCACAATTCGCATACGAAACGATGATTATTCTCCAAACGTACGTTGGTATATTTCTATTCGAGCTGAATGAAAAAGTATTTCAGCTTATTCTTCATATTGTGCCAGGAACATATGTACGTATGTCGAGTAATAACAACTCTCTAATTAACTCTTTGTGAAACGGAAAATGGAAAAAGGAGAAACACATCCGTGGATTTTATATGATTCGTGAAAATTATTGTAAATACAAGCTCAAATAACCGTTAAGACTTTCCGCGCAACAATGAATTCTATTAAAATTAATAACGTGAAACAAAGTACGGAACGTGAATGGCTGAGAATAAAACTGAAAGGACTTCGAAGCATGCTTGCATAATATCATCAATGTTCTTTTATTTGGATAACAACGACGACACTGTTACGAGATGCTTGGCGAGTTTCATTTTAATAATGAAACACTATCATCTCATGGTATTCCAAGTTTTAAACTTTAATAAACGCTTCGTCTCTTCTTATTTAAGCGTGACGAAAAAGAAAACAAATTAAACGTAAAGATTACATCGAGTCAAGATTTATTAATACGTGCGTTCTCCTTTAAATCTTAATTACCAGCAAGGAAAAGCCATCTGCAATGCTAAACATTTTACTTTCAAATAGACCAGAAAAAGGAAACCACTTTCCTCCCCCTTGAATTAAAAACAGCGTGAACACATTCGATTCGAGATAACTACTAAAAAATTGAACCAGTTTGAATAAAACATTCTGCATACGATTACGCGGCACCATCAACTTGACGCGCGCGAAAAAAATTCCAAAGATAATCAAACAATAATAATTCAAAGAGTGTTTAAACAAAAGTGTATCAAGAAAACCTTTTGAATAAATCAATAAAATCAGCTTCAATCTATGTTTTCTTTTGCAAGCTCGTGCAATATGTATTATTTTTGCGAACAGTGACTTTTGTTAAGTTTAATACTCACGACGAAAATAGACAAATGCGGCGGATAGTAGCAGTAAACTTTCGAAAATATTTACTTTGGTAAACCGATCTTCATTCATAGAAAAATTGTTCACCTGACGATGCGAGTACGCGACTACCAACCACTCCGTTGGTAGATGGTAGAATCCTTCTTGGCTTCGACCAAGTCAACCACCCTCTTCTGCTGGTTATCTCACGTCGATTCTCCACATACCAGCACATCCCCCTCGACCTACCACTGCTAACTACATATTACATATACATATGTATACGTTACCATTTACGTAGTTACCATCTACCATTATACCTTTCGACCTTCGACTACTAGACCAAAGCATCCCTCCTAATGTATACTGCTAGCAATGTACCACCACTCTTACTATGCAAAAACGAGCTTATACTTAATAAAGTAAAAGGGTTAATGTGGAATTATTGTGCCATTTATTTTTCGCCTCGATAATCGTTCTTCCACAGCTTTGTTTCATTTTCTTCGATAAACATTGCACGCCTAAACACGCTGAAACATTGATGTAAGTGAGTACTTACATGTACTTTCAATTCCACGAATACAGATTGTTTTTGAATTCAGATTAATTTATAAATTCTGACAATAAAATTCCAGATGATAAACCACTTTTGAATCACCGACTGTTTTGTGAAAGAACAAAAATAAGCTATTCAGGACTTTTGTAGCTCCAAACAGTTCCAGCGGAACAGAATGGAACAGAATGGAACAGAATGGAACGGAATGAGAAACTGGAACGTTAACCTGTTTGACGTGTATCAAATACCGGTGAAAATATTCCCTTCAATATTGTAGATCTATTTTCACGCAAAATGTTACGAATAATACTTTTTGGGTTGATATGTAGCTTCGTTAACGCTCAATCTGCCAATCTTGAAACAGTGAGCGATGACAAGCTAGTAAATCTTATAACAACCGAAAAATATATGGTCGTCTTTTTCAGTGAGTTTTCAGAACCAGAACAATATTGAGTATACTTATATATATGTTCAACCACAGGAATAGAATTTTTTCAATAAAAAAATTTCGTTTAAACTTATTTATTATGACAAGTCTTGTTATAACTTGCCAATGAAATGTTATCCAGTATTTGAAACTGTTATTTCGAATATACATAGATAATAAAATTCATACAACAATGTATCTTATGTTTATATTTGCAGCTCAAAAGAACTGCAAAGCATGCGATAATTTTGAAAATCTAATAACCGATTTGAGCAAACATTTCATGCATTTACTATCTGCTAAAGTTGTTAAAGCGATCGATAGTCAATTGCTACGTCTTTACAGCACTGATAAAGAACCTGCACTTGTGTTCTTTAGACACGGAGTACCTTTACTTTATGATGGTATATACAACAGAAAAAATTATTCTAACAAGAATTGGTTCCATTCGTTTAGAAATTTACATTTTTTATGTTTCCTAGGTCCATTAAACGACGAAGAAATTTTAACTATGTTTACTGAAAACAAAGAACCCACTGTAAAGGAATTAACTGATGATACATTTGAACATTTAACTCAGGCAAGCAGCGGATCTACAACCGGAGATTGGTTTGTTATGTTGTAAGTTTCCTTTAGAAATTCTATGCTTTCATATACCTATTCTAATTCATGAATATTTCATGCAACTTTTTCTTTTCTTTCTTCTCTTACAAACAGTTATGGTACAGATTGCTTGGAATGTGTAAGAATGACTGCAAGATGGGAGGCTGTAGGTGCAAAACTTAGGCAAAGAGTTAATGTTGCCCGTATTGATAAATATACAACTGGTGCGTCTACAGCAAAAAGATTTAATATTTATAAAGCTCCTGAATTCATATTGTAAGTATACCAAATGTCAAAACAGAAAGTATTAGGAAATGAAGCAGTACAAGTTATGCTTATGTTATTTAACATAATTTATTTTGTACTTGCAGCTTCAGACATGGTAAAATGTACCGTTATCAGATCCCGAAATACGACATTAATTCATTCGTATCGTTTGCTAAGGAATGGTACAGAAATGCACGTGTCGAAACTGTTCCTACACCAGGAACGGTTGCCTACTCACTGTAAGTTTCAACACATTTTTCTTAATCTCAAACTATCTTTTTTAAACATTTGTCCTAGTATCTTAATACAATTATATTTATTTTCAGCGATGATTTTGTTCAAACGATTGCAAATTTTCTGCGTAAAAATCCGTGGATGATGAAGCTTGGCAGTATAACAATTGGCGTATTCATAATTATTTCTGTAGCTTCGAAGTTCAGACGTAAAACTGAGTTGTCCCAAAAGAAAGACTAATTTTGTTATGTACCAAATACATGTTTACGGGTACTGTGCCAATGTATTAGAATTTATAACTTCGGATAAAAGCACAGTAAATAATTAGATGAATAAATTTTTAAGTTGAGCTAATTTTTTCTTTTAATTCACATATAACAAAACAAGTTTTTAATTAAAATTAAAATGTATATTTTCATACTTGTATTATATGTATATGTATATTTGATCAGTACCCATAATTGTTGAAAAAAGATACCGATGCGTATACGTTACGTTTTCGGCATTTGTATTTGTTACTTTGTATAAAATATGTATAATAATTACAACAGAATACTAATTTTTTAACAAAAGTATTCTCTATGTTTTACAATAAATATTCTTAAATAAAAGTTGTTATCGTTACACAAAGAATTATTTATCAAGCCGAAATATTTATCAAACTTTGTATTTTTTTCTTTTTCCATGAAAAAAAAACAAAAAAAATAAACAAAAAACTAAAATAATAAAAGTAATTTTTTTTATATTCGCTTTATTTAAAGTAAATAAAAATAAACTTAAAACGACATATTTACTTGTAATATACATTGTACTTCAACTTATTTATATCAAACAAATGAATTTGTTTGAATTCTTTCAACTCTTTCAAATTCATTAGGTAACGTATGAATCTCTTTTATTAGTTTTATCGATATAAGCCAGTAGAAACATTAAGTAAAAATATAATATGAAATGTTTTAAGCTTCTTTACATCTTACTGTAACTTAGTGACTCGAAAATAACTGTTTTACATCGTTTATAGTTTATGAAAATGTATCTACATTACATTCATTCCCTGTACGACATTTTTGGTCTTATCAACAGAAAATATTCCACCTATTTTAAACATTATCAACCGATATATTTATCCTAAAGACTGTAGACGAATCAGCTAATGCCATTCTGATACTATTTTCAAATTTTTCTTGTATGGAGGAGAACTCCATCATGTTGCTTGGTTTTGAATCAATCCAAAACCCATCAAATTCATAAAACAGATAACAATAAAACTGATGAAAGGCACGAATCGTCGGTAAAGTTTTTGAAGAATTATAAATATGAGTCTTAGCAGTTCCATCTCTTAACAATCTTAGAGCCATACTTGTTAAATTTATACCAACAATAGCAAATGCATAACCGTAACGTGGATGAGTAGAATGGGATAATACATGCGTCGCAGCACTTGGGTATTCCTGAGCAAAATAAACTAAATTTTCTAAACCCAGAATTCCCATTCCTCGAAAGTCTGTTTTTGGATCATCTCCCTGAAATCCAATCTCTTGCCATTGTTTAGTAACTCTGGCATCTAAAGGTTCATAAGGCATCAACAAGTTCCACAATTTTAACAATAACAATTCATGTTCAGGATTGTCAGCATCATACGGGGTTTTTCTAAGTTCTTCGCATTCTGCGCAAAGTTGTCTATAGCCCCAAATTAATTCTACACACTTGCCAAATGATTTAGCAAAATCAGGATGCGCGGTTGGATTTATTTTCTTAGTCACCAACACTGTTCTGATAGCTTCTTCTAAGATTTTGCGTTCTGTTTTAGTTGTTATTGCATGCTGATCCGCAAGATCATTCAAGTGAGCCACAAGAGTTTTGATATTAGCATTTCTAGACAATTTAAGAGATTCTTCTACAGCTAACGTCCGTGGTGCTCCAGATGGTTCTCCGTAACAAATTCTCTGAAGTTCGCACATTTGTGTTGTTTGACGTAGTAACCATTTTATAATGGGTCTGAAATACCACCACACTAATGACCAGAAATATACAAACATGTTTTCTCTCAGTTTCGAACTTTGGTACAAGGAAAACTTTCTATATATCCAAATTATGATTAACCTCTTCCTGTCATCATATTTCAAGATACATACATTTTGTCGTTACGTTAAAAAAGGAACACGCTCTAACATGAAAATTAACAACCTGGTGTTTAATTTAATAAATACAACTTTTTTTTTTTTTTTTTTTTTTTTTTTCTTTCATACATTCACCATTTGAAATCAATGCACATAACCTGTGCTAACGTAACCAACACGTAAACATGACAGCCGATACGATTCTAACCGAATGAAAAATAACTTGATCCATCAAGTTTCTTTTTATTCAAATAATTCCTCGTTTATGTGCTATACTGCAAGGAAATCATCGATTTCTTTAAATATTCAGTCTCAACACAGAGAAATCAATAATAACACGTCCTAAATTAACACAATATCGTCGGTAAGAAGTAAGAAGAGGTCACTCACTATCCGCATCGCGTATGTTCATATGTTATGTACTTATACATAATCTTATTGTACTACGTATGTAAATAAGTTGTATGTACCAAAAATTCAATACTGTAAACTGTGAACATACCTGTTCGGTACCGCATTAGATAACTTGTTTTTAGAAGTAGACATGAAGAATAAACGTAATACGCGGAAAACAGTAAATCTTACAATATCGTCGTCTCTATATGTATAGAGACAATTATTAACAGAATTATGATTTCACCTTGAACGTCTTTCCGTTTACCAATGGATAATGTTTATACATACATATATACATATATATATATATACGTACAAACTTCAATTGAAAAAGATGATCAGAATAATTTCAAAGAATAATCATTGCAATATTTTAAACCACGCTATACGATCGTAAAGTTATAATTATAATTGTATGTAATAAAATTAGATTGTATTTGATATGTAAGTACTTATTTACTTACTATGTACTATGTATGTACCACAAAAGAAAAGAACAATAAACTATCAATGCGTGGACAGCAAAAGAGAATAACTTCAATCAGTTAGGTTGTTAAATTCCGAAAACCATCCGGTTACTCTTGCTCGGAAACTATTTATACATATCGTATAACGACGAGGTGAAAATTAAACGATTAAATGGAGAACGTACACGTATCCTCGTCGGAAGTTTCAACAAATTCGAGCAACAGCGGAAACCAGTTGCAAACCATCGTCAATGAATGTAAACAGTCGTTGGATGACGAATGCAAGGAAAAGGATAAAACGAGCTTCGAATTAAATCTAGATCTTAGAAATGTATTAAATTGTGAACCTACTGCATTCGAGGCTGATCAAGATAACGAGAATTCATTAGAAAAACTCTCGGCTGTTTTGGAACAACCGGAAGACTCACCTTATCGTTTGGAAGGTGCACAGTCTACGCAGGATGATCGTGAGGATAAACAACTAAAGTATTGCACACTGTTTCAAAATGGATAAATATTGTAATTCTACGTGAAAAACTGAATGAAAATTATACGAAATATCTTCTTTTTTTTTGTTAGTAGGCTTAGTTTTCGAAGAAAACAAGTTTGAAACACACACCGGGTATGCGTGTCGTGTCTTTAACTCTGGCCACCAGAGGTCACCACTAAAGCTTTGATACAAGGAAAACTTTCAAACAAATTTTCTTCTTGTTAATTAAGTTTTGGTGGCAAAGTTACATTTAATTTGAATTCTTTCCTCTGCTTATATGTATGTATTTATACACATTAGATATTTTCCTACTTAATATAGCTACATTCTTCGGGAACGGATACAATCGCTTCGCAATGTTATGAGTCACTTGAAGGAAGAACTTAAAAGAGAAATTGAATTTTTGAAGAAAGAGAACGAAGAGTTGCAAGTTTTACGAGAAAGAAACGATTCGTTAGCCTTGGAAGAAGCAACTGCAGCTGCGCGTGCGGCTGCTGCAGCTTATGCAGCGGAAGTGCCGTTATCCAATTCTTTGGGTAATTTGATACAAGAAACGGATACTAAATGATTATTATACGACTCGTCAAATAAGTACATACATGTATTTAAATTCGTGAGATGTTTTATAGAGGTTATCTCCGAGGACACGTTCAGAGAACTTACGATACTCGAATACGAGAAAAAATTGGCCAAATATCAGGATGAGTACTCGTTTAATCAAGCTGAGAAACGTTACAATACTCGATGGAAGATGATTGCAAATGCGTACAAGCAGAAACTGATGGAGGTGGAGCGACTTTGCAACGAGGAATTGGAAAAAGTTCAGCAAAATGCGAACGATCTACAACCACTCAAAGAAATGGTGTCTCAATGGTGTATCGACGAAGAAAATCGCGGTGATTCGATTAAAAGATCTGATTTTAATGTGGATGGGCTAAAATACAGCGTTTTTAATGACGAGAAACTTCATAATCGTCAATTTCAAAATGTCGACGCGGAAGTCAATATGGCGCCGGAGATATTCGTTGCACGATTCAAGTCCGAAAACTTGACGAAGAAAGATACATTTTATAGATAGACATATCTTCTTTTATATTGCAGTTTTCTGTCATATGTATAACACGAACTTATTCTATATATCGTATATTGTATACACGTATTGTTTCAGAATTAATATTTCCAAAAACTTTATACTTGAGTAATGCGTCTCGTTTGAAAGAGGCACATTGCCACTTAGTGTTACAACTGATAGTTTGTATGTGAGTACTTACCTTTTCGTTGATCCGGGAAACGAACAGCCATCCCTGTGTTGCATCATATTTTTATTAACACTTGACACTGATAATTCAACACTTAACACCGATCTTAAAGAACGCGTTGCGTTTCGCGTGGAACTCGCGACCGGAATACGTTCAACTTTGAAACGATACCGCGTTTCTTCGTTCAGCGTCGACCATGTTCCAGTTGTTCCGACCGTCGGAATCCGACGTTCCTTGTTCATTGTTTACGTGACGTGGTGATACACTGGTGTTACCGGTTGTATTCGATCAAAGGATAGTCAAAACTATTTTGTTTACTTGGTTATTCTAATTTCCATAGAAAATAATTGTGTGACCATGTTGCAGTCTATATTTGACGATGTACGGCGAATGAATAAACGGCAGGTAAATGGATTTTTTTCATTTCAATCATCAATGACGCTTACAAGTGAGCGCATATGGTCTATTGAAAGAAATGCATTTAAACATAATTGTTGCTTCTTTTAACAGTTCCTGTATCAAGTATTAAGTTTTGGTATGATCGTTTCATCTGCCCTGATGATCTGGAAAGGCTTGATGGTTGTAACAGGCAGCGAAAGTCCGATCGTAGTGGTCCTCAGGTATTTCAATACTTAACCTAATCATTTTATGAACATGTATTTATTTGGAAAGATTGATTTATTTAAATCTGCAGAATATTTAAAATATCCCTTGAATTGCAAAGAAACGTTAAATTTGTTCATCTTATCGTTACTTAGGCATAATTATAGCTTTACGGATTTATATTTTAATGTTATAGCGGTAGTATGGAGCCAGCATTTCATAGGGGGGATTTGTTATTTTTAACCAATTATCAAGATGAACCTGTTAGGGTAGGAGAAATTGTTGTTTTTAAGGTTGAAGGGAGGGATATCCCAATTGTACACAGAGTGTTAAAACTTCATGAAAAGTAAGTATTTATTAAATGCGCGAAGCGATAGGTGTATCAGTTGATGCGCATAGATTTAAATTATTGAACGACATTAATTTATTTCAGGGGTGATCAAAATAATACTGTTAAGTTTCTAACAAAGGGTGATAATAATTCTGTTGACGATAGAGGTTTATACGCTCCTGGTCAATTATGGTTAACTCATAAAGATGTTGTTGGTAGAGCAAGGGGTTTCTTACCATACGTGGGAATGGTTACAATATATATGAATGAATATCCTAAATTTAAGTATGCAGTATTAGTATGTTTGGGATTATATGTTCTGGTACACAGGGAATAAAGTTATTCGCGTAAGAAATTACAAGGAACAGACTGTTATTGTTTATGTGCAAGACAGTAAATTGTAAAATATACAAATTAATAATTAAAATACATATGTGGAACTATGTACAATGTGATTTTACCTCTTGTTAATTTCATACCATTAAAGAAGTTTCAGTACGCAAAAGATGAAAAGTGTTATAGCTCTTCAAACTTGCGCGTATGTTTACTCTAGTACTTTTGTACAATATTAAAAGACAATGCCCTGCCGATAAATTGGTAAAGCTAAATGTACAAACACTTTGATTTTTAAGTGATTTTATCGATGTCCTGGCAAAATTTATCAACTTGTTCAAAATGTTGGAAATTTGTAACGGGTTGTATAGAATTTACCGCTTGAACTGTAGTTTAAAACAACTGAAATGAATTCTGATATGTATGTATATTTAGCTTAATTGTGTACAATTCGGTTTTATTATAAGTAATAACAGTTGATGATTTTTGCCGGCGCAACAATAATATTAACGTAGGTGATATTTCAAACGAAACAAAGACTATTATACATTTTATTGTTTATTATATTTTCTAAAGAATTCAACAAGTTTTTACTTTGTAAGTTTTCAAATACCTAATACATATATTTTTAAGTGTAAGAATTATATATACAGTAAGCAAAGAGAAAATGATATTGAATTTTTATTCATTTTTGTTACACCAGATAACAAAATTAATATATGATCTGTATAAAAAAAAATAATAATAATAATAAAAAAAGTGGACAATTTGGGAAGATAAACATTAAAATGTGTATACTTAAGTAAGTGCATATAAAAGTAAAGCATATCTTCCCCGTTATGGCAATATCTTTATTTCACGAGCACTGAACATCTTAAAAGTTTGATAACTTTTTAGATGGTAAAAAACAATCGACGCTCTAGTCGTTTCTAGAAATCTGAATATATTAATTAATTGTGTTTAATCAATTCAATGTAAGTTTTGTCTATCTGTCTAAAATTATAAAATAAATTTATAGTATCTAAATTAGATACATTGTACCTTAACTTCATTCCTAATAGTTTATTATGGTATCTCATATATGTGGGATAATAATGATACTACTGATAGAAATAGAAATAATTATCCTTTTTTATTATATTAGTAAAAAATACAAATGGACTGAATGATATAAAATATAATATTAATGATACTATTTTTATTCCCCTTTCTTTCAGTGTGTCTATGATGGTATCAAGTTCATTCGAATTCATTAGTATCATTAAAATTCAAACACGATGTAAAAGAAACAGTTGTATGAGAAGTAAAGAAATATTATATTTATAAAGCTTAACTTTTACGTCTTTTATTTATTATAACGCCGTACTACTTTGTATGATATTGTTAAGTTTTTTTGTCAAATAAATCGTAAGCATAGTCAGAAGTTTTCGATTAATATCGCGGTTCTACTTTAATCCAGGTTTCTTTCGGTGTGGTTATTAAACCAGGTAGTTTATCTTCGAGCGATGTTGGCTGTCCTTCCACGAATGAAAAATGAAAATTTTGCATCAGTACGGCAAGTACTCCAAACATGTTGTATCTCGCAAAAGTTTCACCCGCGCACACACGGTGACCTAATGAATAAGAAAGTAAATGACTAAATAAATAAATATATATTTATTAACCTACCATAAAATCGAATCGTATTTATCTCGAAGAGATACACTGAAGAAAAGTTGCAAAGTGTCAGCATTTCGGTACTGGTATAGAAAAGATTTAATTAGAGATAAATTAAAAAGTATCGATGTTTCTCCACCTTTAATGATCGTTGAAACATACGGAAAATTCTGTACGTACCTAATCCAAAAACGAACGTAAAGTCTTTGCCCAGCTGGCCATCCTCCGCGAGGAACCGTTCTGGCCTAAAATTCTCGGGATCACCCCACAAATCAGGATCATGATTCAATTCATCTAAATTTGTAATTGCTAATGTATCCTTGGGAACATTGAAACCACCGAGAGTAGTATCCTTTATCGTTTTGTGAATCACGCCGAATGGTGTTAGGGTTTCGTATCTGAGAGCCTCGCGTATCATTGCTTCGGTGTATGGCATACTAAAAATAATCATTATTATTATTTTGCATCAGTACATACTGTATACATATACCGTACTACAATCATACTTTTTCCTATCTTCCCATGTAACATGTCTTCCGGTTCCGACCACTCTATCTATTTCCTCTTGTGCATTCTTTAAGACATTTGGATTATGCATAAGAAGTTTTATAGCATGCACAATAGCACTTGGTGCCGCTGATAAAGCCGGAAACATAATGTCCACGAGAAGAATAATAAGCTGTTCTTCCGAAAAAGTAGACATTACGTTACTATTTTTCTTCAGTTCGCTTAGGTATCTGTCTATCAGTCCTCTACCGATGTCTTCATCGTACAACTGTTTTCGTTCTTCTATATGTTTCTATAAGAATGATGAAAGTTTAAGAGATTGTTTGCCGTGTTAAAAGAAAATAAATACGCTACCATAACGAAGGACGCTATACGATAACTTCCATCGATGATGCTTTTATAACCAAACATATCGCCGAAATATTTCAAAAACCAACGTTGAAAAAGTGCAGCCCCGGTAGTGTCGCCTCCTCTTTGAAATTTCATAGCAGCTTGACATAGATATATCAGTTTCTGATGTTGCGAACGATTAAATCTGTCACCAAACATTATATCCCATATACTGTTAGCCGAGTATGGATATAAAATATCGGGGAATAACGCGTAACCATGTTTCAGATATGACTAAAAAGAAAATTCAAAAATATCATTCAAAGTAGACATGCATTCATAGTCCATTACATAATACGTATACATATACGTGTACATACATACATATAATGCTTACCTTCTCATAGTCGTTAATAGGGCCTTCTTTTAACATATCGACGAGGATATTAAGTTCTTCCATCATATCACTTTCAAATTTATCATGTCGTCTACCAAATCCAAAATCTCTCATGTGCCGAAGGGCAAATCTTCTTTGTTCTTTCCAAAATGAACCCTCGGTGAAAAAAATGCCTACATTATAAAAATACGATTTTAAATATGTATATTCATTAGGTACATACTTTCGTTTTTAATTAAAAAAAAGTACCTAATTCTTTTCCAAAAGCTCTTGCTTTAACAACATCTACGTCAGTAGCTCTACCATCGAATTCTTCCCTTGTTAATATTTCTTTAATACTCTCGTAATCATTCGCGATAACAGCCATGAAACCACCTAAATAACAGCTAAGAATTTTAGATTGAAATTTCTTTACATAATACGAAACAGTTTTGTGTGGAAATTTGTAATCTCCCCAAAGTAAATACCAATAAGATCCGCCCAGTGGCAACCGAGGGATACCTGTTAAAATGTTCAAATAATAATAATAATAATAATAATAATAACAAAATTATGGTGTATGCTTTTGTATTACAAAAAATTGAAAAAAATAAATAAATGTCCGTCATATGAAAACTTACATGGTGGTGCGTTTGGTGGTATACAACTAAGGAATTCGTAAAACTTATACGCGATTATCAAAAGTAATATTACGATTAACAAAGCTGACATCCTTCCGTCGATACTAAATACGAAATGATCGTGCTCGAATTTCTGCTGTACTGTGGTATACATTAAATAATCTAGTAAACGATATCAAATCATGTTTCACAAAACTGTCTACAAAAGAAAATATATATATATATATATCAAATGTTGTTATTCGCGAACAGATAATAGTTTGTTTTATCTTACCATGTATGTAACTTTATACGCTATTATGATACGAAATTAATTACTATAAAGCGCAAAAACTCTCCGCTAATCAACAGATTTATTGTTGTTATTCTGAAATTTCTTTCACAATTTGTGACGTGTGTATTTTTCTTTACAAGAAATTCGATACAAGGAATGTTGTATCATAACATTTAATTTTTTAATATTCGTCTTTAATAAATTTATTGTAATTAAATAAACGAAAAGTGAAATAAGTGAAAAACAATTCTAACAAAAATGTTTATTTTACAATAAAAAGTATGATACATTTATATTTCAATCATAAATAAACCAGCTAAGTACTCTTTTATTATTATCATAGTGTATTCTACGAAACTACAAAAAATAATGTTGTTTTTTTTCTTAAATAATGTAGCCCATCGCGTTTATTACACTAGATTCTAACACAGGCTTACACGGATCGTTCATTGAAAATATTTGGTATCACCTAAGCACACTACCTGCAGGCTATTTTTAATCACTGAACGCATTCGATCGTCATCCATAACTGTACAACCTACGTTTGGAGATAACTTATATAATAAACAAATGCAGTCCTCTAAATTTTGCATTATTTTTTTGTCAAACACTGGAGTTTCTGTTAAATCAAAATGTAGCTTCAAGAATGCAGTATATAGAGGTACACAGTGGGCTGCTACGCGTAAATGGAACATCAAAAGGAAAGTTTTTGCAGCCTAAAATATAACAATTAATTGATAATGGTGCAAATAAAAGTGACTGAAATAATATGTAAAGATACTTACATCTAACGTTGCTTTTAATGTCTTTAAATCTGTATGATGTTCACAATATTCACAAATTATTCTTGTTAATCTTTCACACCATTTGGCACAGCCAAGATTGGTTAAAAGTTGAGGCAAGCTTAACATGTAAACACGTCGTAGTTCTACATTTTGCTCAAATTCCATATTATCTAATAGAACAGCTAAAACATCATCGCGCTTTGTCCACTGTAATAACGCATCATAGTATCATAAAATGAATACTTGAATCGGTATACATACATTAAATATATTAAAACGTACTTCAAATACATTCAATGTATTATCCCAATGTTCAGCGGTAGCTAATAAGCTTGTTATGCACGAGTATACCAATATTACATATTTGGCTTCTCTCTGATGAGTTAAACGCTCCAGAGTATGAAAAATCACTTTGTCGTACCCAGTATCGATCAATCCTTTTTTCTACGCATATAGTACGTATACATGAATAAGTAAACAATTAAAATGAAGCAAATGATTAAGTCAAATTAATACAATGTTAATTTTTACCAAATGAGAATGCTGAATAATCTGGTGTAAACATTCAAGACCTATGACAACGTTTTCTGGCACATAGTCGTCGGTAATTATTAGAGCTGTTGGAAGCACATCACCGATACGATTGTACAAAGTTGGTTTCTGCATAAAAAGCACGTATAGTTCAATATAAAGTTACATTTATAACATTTTTTGTTCCAATAATTTTACCAACCTCGGTTTGATATAAAATCCATTTGTAACATGCTACAGCTGCTGGATAAGTTTTCCAAGTATCTTTTAGTAACTTATGCCTTAGCATAGACAATAATGTGGTTAAATTGTCTTTGTCCGTTAACAATTGAGAAATGCTTTGATATCCGTGCAGCTCTAATATTTGGGTAACCAAATCTTTGGATACGGACACTGATTCTGCTGTGTTCCAAACATTCTTTTCATTGTGTTCCCCGATAAGCAACAATAAGTAAATGGTAAAAGTTTCAACTGGCGATGCATCTAAATCTATTTGTACATCACTCTCGTTGCGACTGTAAATAATATGCTCAAGCATAGACCTAATGTTTCGCAAATTTCGGTCCACAACTTGTCTATATTCTCTGAAATCTTTTTCGTCGCATGGTCGACTAGTACCGACGGTTTTTTCAGGAACATAACTCATAGTAACAAGATCAATGCATGCTGCCCACAGACCTTCCTCAGAAAAATCACCCTCAATTTTCAAAGCTTCTAGTTCTTTTAAAAGATTATTCATGTTTAATTTATTCGTTAAACAGTCTGACGAGAGATAACGATTGTCTCCTCGCGAATCAACTTTTTCGCAACGATTTCTTAATTTCGCATGTGTACATAGAAAGTGTCATTTTCCAAGTTGTCACGAATAATGGTACGTAATTCGATCGAACCTGAGGTATACAATTGAAGAATCAGTTGTCGACTTTGTCGCAAACCTACTTTCCACTTGTCTGAATTGTCAATAATGATGGAATATACCAATTGTTGTGCTTACTCGAACATCTGATAATGTGACAGAGATTCTGATTTGTCGTATCGTAATGTATTAACGTTTAATATAACAATTGCAATACAAATTTCAACCACCTACTGGTCTTTGCAAATTTACAATGTAATTACTGCATTTTGTAATATTGTTCGATGTCTCGAAAAGATAATCGATACGATTCTCACGAGCTCTCGATATGTGCATACTTACTTACTTACTTACTTACTTACATACATACATACTTACGTATGCACCTCTCATACTCTCATCTGCTCTCAACATTCCCTTTTTTCAACACGGTTGAAGTCTAGTTAGTTTTCTTTCCGTTTCATGCATCCTTATTTTTTTCTCATTTGTAGCATTTAATATATCTTTGACTGAATTTTATAAGTGCAACAACTGTTATCTTTGTTATCTTAAAGTTTAATCGAATTCAAGAATAGTTATGCTTCAACGTAAACCAAACTCTGTTGTGTTGAATACCGTTCGCTAGTGTTTCAGTGCATACGTATTTATACATATAGTGCTCATATATCGAGTATCGTGTCGCGTAACGTAACGTAACGTAACATAAATTGTTATTTATTTTCTATCAATTTCCGAGAGCTTTGGTAATTATGAATTAATGAAGGTGTAGTAGCTGGTAGTTACGATATGGCTGAGTACCGTTAGTTCATTTTCTATTTTTTGATATCATTTATTGTGTCATTTGATGTTTCGTTTTCAATAAGATGTTATAGAGTCATTTGAGTTTCGCCTCCATCTTGATCCCTGGATAAAAGACACCGCCCTTCGAACGATTATTATTTATCTGTATATGTACAATTCACTTTCTCGATCAACTAATACAACCTTAACAGATGGGTTTTAATAGTTATATATTTTCATCGCTTCGAAAATTTTGTTAAATCAATTTGCATGGAACCTTATTTCATAACCTTATTTTTGTTGAAAATCTAATCGAAATATAAATTTTAAGATTTATAATTACTTCTATACAATTTCTATAGGATAATTCCGTTATTAACATTATTTATTTTGTTAACGAAAGCATTTTAAATACATAATATCATTTATAAAATATAATGTTTTTACAATTTCTTGAAAAGTGTCATTTTTAAATCATTTAAATGTCCTGTGGTTCTCTTAAGGATCAGGTTCTTATTGTGTATCATCAGGAGTAGGCAGTGACTCTGAAGTAATGGCGGAGCTAGCTGCATTTCTTGGTCAGGAAATACCCGAAGGAAGGAGCAACCTTGCTGATAATCATATCAATTTAGAAAGGGTTGCTGATTATTGCGAGGCAAACTACTTCCAAGCAGAAAACAAAAGAATAGCGTTGGAAGAAACAAAAAACTTTACTACTCAGTCATTGGCCAGTGTAGCCTATCAAATAAATACACTTGCTTATAATTTTTTACAATTATTGGATTTGCAAACATCTCAACTAGCTAGAATGGAGAGTCAAATGAATCATATAGCTCAGACAGTTATGATACACAAAGAGAAAGTAGCTAGAAGAGAAATTGGAGTTCTAACAGCTAATAAAGTTACGGTACGCCAATACAAGATTATTGCACCAGCAAATCCTGAGAAACCGATCAAATACGTGAGAAAAAGTATCGATTATACGATCTTGGACGATATCGGGCATGGGGTGCGTAGCGGTGGTACTCCTAGAAGTAAGCAACGTGGCGGTAGCCAGGGTAGCGTTCAGAGTTTAGGCGCAGCTTCTACCGGTTCAGGATTAGGTGCTGCCATGGTAGGACCAGCACCTACAACAAAACCACCTACTCCTCCTCAAACAGTAAGAACTGGTAAGAGTACCAGAGACGAAGCGCCTATTCCCATTTTATAGAAATATTTAGCATCTAGCATCAGATTAATTTCATTCTACAGGAACGTTGAGTAAAGGATCACGAGAATATAGAACACCACCAGCGGTTGCTCCACCTCAAGTTCCTAGTCATTATGCTCCTAATTATCCATTGGGTCACCCAAGAAGAGAACGCGGCCCTGGTTATAGTACCTTACCTTTACACGCACATACCACGTCTCACGCAACTCATAATACAAATCACAATGCTCATACCAATACCTTAACTCAACATACTTCACCGCCGCAAGTTGGAACCGTTCATCCATTGCAAAGTCATCCTCAAACACCGCCACCGGCACCTCCTAGTGTAACAGCAGGATATGTGCAGGAACAACATAACAGTATGCCCCGTAAGTAACGTATACGTTAATTTTTTATGTTAATCAATTAATTTATATTCAATTCGCAACGGTTTAACATTGTTTAATGTTTAATTACAGCACCACCGTCACCGTTGGTTGGAATAACAGGTGATATGGCGGATTATACCGGACATCATACTTTACCGCACAGACTATCGCATCAAATCAGTCGAAGTAGTGGTGCAAGTAGCCCACCATTGCCACCGCCACCACCACCGGAACAAGAAGAACATCCGCAATTCGGTAGGCCCACGCCATCCAGTGGCGCTATTATGCCTATCGTACCAGACGAGGAAGATTTACCTGGCTGGGTACCGAAGAATTATATCGAGAAAGGTACGTCACCATCCTTATTTCGATCTTTTACGTATTTCAATTTCTAAACGGTACATACCTAAAATAATTCTTACCATTTTAGTTGTTGCAATTTATGATTATTACGCGGACAAGGAGGATGAATTGAGCTTCCAGGAAAGTTCTGTAATTTATGTACTAAAAAAGAATGATGATGGGTGGTGGGAAGGGGTCATGGATGGCATAACCGGTTTATTTCCGGGAAATTACGTAGAACCTTGTGTTTAATAAGTTTTACAATATTGCATTTAAATATGTATATCAAAATTGTGAATAGTTCGTATTCACAAGAAGACTGCAAATTCAAGGGACACGCTTGATTCCTTGATTTTAATATGTTATTTAGTATTTAATAATCGTAAGGTGACATTTGATGTAACTGATTGCTGCAAGAACATAAAACGGTGCAACAGAGTATGGTATGAAATATGATTAAATAAATAATTGTAGATTCTTCCGAGGGCGGAGAAAAAAAAACACACACACAAGGTCTCAGATATCATGCGAATTTTTTACAAATCAAACTAATCGATCTTTATATCGATATAAAAAAAAAAAAGAAGGTATTTTTTGGTAAATAGTATTTCCTTCGGTTGTTTTATCTGGATTCCTTACGAATCATATGTATATACGATAAGTAATCAGCATAATGGTATGCAATTTACTCTACGATACATTAGCTTTTTAATTATATTTATGTATTTTAGATATAACCGTGGCGATGTTAGTGATAGGCTAATGAATAATCAAAATACCAAACGTCCTTACGTTATTACGTAAATAAAAATTGTAACGCCTTATATCGATCAAGATTTTGTATCGTAAATTACTTGAGGAGGGAAGGGGAATGTAACACGGTATCCACTTTACTATTTTATTCTTCGTAAAATGGCAATAGGAAGAGGTTCGTAACTTGTGGTAAATACATAACGTAGGCGTATCGTTAAATACGACGTGATTTTATTTAACTAATTAGCCCTATGCTCATCCTTGTAATATTCGCATTTTCCCCGGTGCTAATTAGGTCGTTAATTGCACTATTGAGACACGGAAACAGGTACCTTTACCTTATAATTAGCCAAGTAACGCACCGGTTTTCGTACTTCTGATTTTCTCTTTGATGTACTTTACGTTACCTTTCTCCATATGCTCTAAAATGCTTGTATAGACAATAAAGTTGTTTCGGCGAAGATTACTGCTGATAGCATTTACGAATAAGTAGATAAACAGAATAAGAACAAAGAGGTGAAACATTTGGGAACTAGACGAAATTTTTAACGAAGCATCATTATTTATCGCTAGGAGGATGTAATGAAATGTACGAACATGATTGTGTTTATAATTAAATAATAATAATAATAATAATAAAAAAAAAACATTGTAAGTTTTTGTTGCAAGTCCGCTAGATGGGCGCCAATTTTTTAGTCTATGTAAAATGCCTATTTTTCTTATTTTATTCTTATTTTAGATGCCAGCATCGAGGCCGAACTTCGAATTCCGCGTCCGTAAAACAGTCAACGTTTCATGAAACTGATTTCAGCGCCATCTTAGTTATTGCATCCAACTAACGTCACTTTTCGCATACACCTAAATATATAAATAATTTATATATTATTAAATATTTATTAATTTAATTAATTAGAGACCAGAGCGCCATTCTTTGCACTCAGGGGATGGTAAAAATAGTGAGACCTACGATTTCGTTGATTTATCATTCGCGGGAGACGCCAGAAAGGTAAAACAGACCACAAATTTAGTTCCTCGTTTTTTCTGTAGGGCGCAGTTCATTCGTTTAGTATGCTTGACAGCGCAATCATTCGCAGCTCGTGTATTTATGTGGTACATATGTGATTAAATTGTGTATTAGGAATCAAAAATACAAGAAACAGAAGACAAAGTTGAAGAGAAGACCGGAGTCACGACTTCTGACATCATTTTCATATTGTCTTCAGAAATGCGTAAGCTGAAAATTTATATCCTATTTTGTCGATATAGACACGAATTAAAATAACATATTTCTCATTTATTCTGCTTTTATGATAATAATTTATTAAATATCATTAATATCTTATATATTTTTCTATCTTCTTTCTTATATTTCGATGCTTTAAAGTGAAAAAAATAATCTTAATCTTATTTCAATATGGCGTTGATAATTTTCAACAAATCTTACCGTTCTTTCAATGTTAAAGTTTCAAAGCAATTCGAAGTTTCTATCAATGCCTGTGATTGGTCATTCCATCATGGCGTCCTCCTATTTAGACCAATCAGATTCATCGTTAAAGGATGCATAGAGCGGAGTGTGATGGAGTGTAACAGTCCTCTTCGAAGCTTCGTTCGTTTGGCAAGTGTCTGCAACAGGTAAGATTAAATTATCTTCAAATATTAAATTAAATTACTGATCGGGTGTTAACAGTACAAAAAACAGAAAGAAACATCGAAGAGAAGTCTGAATTCTTGATCTTTGACATTAATTCGGGGTTTTCTTTAAAAATACGCGAGTTGAAAATTATTCCTTGAAACAGCAAAATCTGAATTATTTTCTCTTTTATACATATATCCGTTAAGTTCCTAAACATTATTGAATGTTTTTAGTACTGTTTCACACAATTTGCTGTTTTTTAATTTAATAACGTACTTTCTTGAGTATCGTAATATTATTTATTCCTGTTTAGACCTATTCGTGTTCTTGGTTAGGTATCGGCCGATAGTCGAATATACCGAACAATGCCGAGTGGTGGCGACTGGTCTTGGTCGGGAAGGAAGGTATCTTATTACTTTATTTAATTAATTTTAATTCAATCTCTTGATAATTGAGAGTTCTTTTTAATTACTATTGCTAATATTTTATAAACTCCAAATTCATATATGTATAATTTTATTAGAATAAAAATTGATAATTTGCAAAATTAACCTTAATTCTTTTTTGTTTTGTTACAGATGAATTTTTTGATTTTGTCGAGTTTCTGGACATCCTTGATGGCTTTCTTCACGACTTCCGTCTTCTCCTATAAGGCAACCTCCTACTTGACTGTCGGAAGAAGAGTATATCTGCGAACGGTGAGTCGCATGCTTTATGGTTCCTTAGTTCATAAGGATAATAATTATTAATAAGCGGCTGGCATTGTGTTAGTATATATCGTGCACGACGTTATCTCCACACATGGTGTGTGTGTTTTTATGCTGTGGGATTGCGTCGGTTTAATAACTTTTTCATTTAACTTTTAATTTTTAAGACATAATATTTTATTCAACAAGATGTACAATGAACGTACAAACTAAACACTATTATTACCATTACCTACTATTACTATATTGCCATTTCTATTACCATGATTATTACCATTACTATGAAATATTCTATTAATTAAATTTTGTAAATATCATTATACGCAATGATTGCTAGCCATGCCAGACGATTTCAGTGAAAAATGGTATGTACCGTAGAGTGTTTTTAACTCATTATTTATTTTACTGGTTAATTAACGAACCTATCTATCTATCTATTTATTAATTTTCCTTTAAGGTGCGTTTACGCATCCTTTATCTGTGGGGGTCCCGTATTATATGTAGAAACTATTGGTTCCTCTCTGCCCACCGAAAGTTGTCGTCACTGACTAACTGTTTATTTGAGAAAATTTTCTACTTTCTCGAATAGAAAAGTGTCGAGGTATCATACCCAGTGGCGGGGACACCTTCCCCTGCGCTAGTTTAGACCGTCATTTTCTCTAGAGAGACGCCGAGGGTGATCGAGGGTGTATGTACATATAATTACGTTTTGTAAAGCATGAAATGCAAACTGCTCGATTTTTTTTTTTGAAACGAACAAAGCTAGGTACCACGAATCGGTTAAAAGGAATTTGAAATGAATCCGATTTCCTCTTTACATCCGTTCCTTGTTAGTGTAACATAAAATGGTCTTGCTCTATTGCTCTATTGATTGAAAAAAGAAAAAAACGTTTATAGAAGCAGTTAGTGTACGTTTCACAGGCGTTTCTTTGGTTGAAAATTTTTTTTGCAATTCCATTCAATGCTCGGTTGAATTATTTCACGGTTGCGAGCCATAGAGATTTCTCTGGTTTCGTGTAAGTGGAAAAAGTGCAACGTGGGGACCGGGTTTTACGCTGCAAACGTTCTTTCTTTTAAGCCGGTAATGACACCCATGGGATCCAGTTTTGTTCGGGTTACACGCGCAAACTTCTTACAGTGAAAGATTCGTCCTCTGGCTTGTGGATAGAGGAAAGTGGAGGAAGAGAGATCATTTTGCTAAGAGAACACCATTTCGTATACTACGTATCTGGGATGTTGGTGAATTTTTCCATTTCCGTGGCGTGCATATCAGTAGAACGAAAACAGGGCGCAGTTTTCGAGAGTGACGATGCACCAAGCTATACTTGAGTCTCGTGCTTAAAAGAGGTCGTGTGAAAACACAAGACAACGAAGAAACGTTATTTTTTATTATCATTCACCCTCCAGATAGTGACGCGCTTTCAGAATCCCTCGGCGTTATTCGTTTCTTTAGTCGCGGTGAAATTTTACCTCGAAACAAACATTCGTGAAATTTAAATACGAGAGGAAAATAAAAAAAGCTATATTGTATCGTTTATTTTGATGACTTGAGATGAGCAATAACGTTATTTATGACATAAAAATTGATATTTTTATACATACATATATTCATCGCGTGTTAATGAAACACTGCATCACTCTTTTTTTCTTTCTTCTTTTTTCTTTTTTTTCGTTTGCCCCCTATGCGTTTGAATATCAGCAATTTGTTAGCCGACGAAAATACGGCAAAGCAACGTATTCCGTATTTTTCATTTCGATCGTAGTCGATTTGAATTCCCAGCATTTGCACTAGCGGACGATAGAATCTAATTAATGCGCGTTGCGAATTCGAAACATCAAATTCTGTACGAATGAAAAACCAACCAGCGCAGCGGGAAAAAAAATAGAACGTGTTCGACGTTCAATTTGTTGGACTTCAATTTTCCAACGACAGAATTTTTTTTTTTTGTTTTATTTTTTTTTTGGAAAGAGGGGGGAAATGGTTGAATCAATAATTTTGATTCATGATAATGCAATATACCTAGTAGCTATACGATGCAAAATAATTCATTTTGTCAAAGCGTAGAGAAAGCGGAAGATAAGAGAGGGGAAAAAGGTGAATTTCTAAAAAAAATTCCGCATTTCGTCGTTGCATTTATTTGTCAATCTCGAAGCCGTGGCCGCGGCATGATTTATTCTCGTAATCCCGTGGAAAAATAGAAGCAATAAAAAGCAAGGGGAAAGGAGAGGACGGTGCGAAACATTTTATTTGCAACGCGCATTCTCCAATACGAACGTTTTATTTGCAAACACCTCGGCCGCCACGGAAACGTTCGCCGAGAAATAACGTCAAAATATTATTATACCACGGGAACATTGCATTCGAAGCGTTTTGCAATGTTTTTTTCCTCTTTCTTATCTCCATCGCCGTGTCCCTGCGTGCACGTTTTCCAACCAGCAAACAAATAATTTTTATCAGCAAGCGTTAGTAGTTTGCAAATTTTCTAGCTAGAAGAGTGTGTTACAAGAGTGTGATAAATGTTGATGAACGCTGTTGAAGAAGAAAAGTTGCCTAAGTTGCTGTTGAGATATACACATAGGTAGAATAAATAGGTACATAATGTTATAGAAACAGCTTTGGTAGGTAGATCCATTGATGATGATCATTTCGAAAATCTGTGATGCATTTGTACCTACACGGTGGCACGACACGCGATCCATTGGTTCGTCCGTAGGAAATTAGGCTTCCATGGTAAACTAGCTAGTGTTCTCTCCGGCATCGATTTCCATTGCTGACGACCGTCTTTCCATCGCCTGGTCACGTTCCTGAAATTACTTACCGACTGTTCGATTCGGCCAATTACCACGGCTCGTTGCTCGTTTCTCCTTCCACTTGCTTC